GAGAGTCTCCAGAAGCGGATTCGGGGGTGAGGACGCTTCCTCCAAGGCGGCGTAACTGAGCTGGTGGGGTTTCGGTGGGCTGGGGTCCCAATGCTGCCCAGGCCCCCCGTTCCAGAGGGCTTCCTCCCCCCTTGTCTCGTGCTGCTTGGGTTCTGCATTCGACCCCTCCCTCGGATATTTGGGGGGCGGGGCTGTGCTGCAGCCCCCCCAGCCACCATTGTCTCTCCGCAGCCCCCCGAAGTGGACGAGGAGGGGTTTACCGTCCGGCCCGAAATGAGTCAGAACGATATCCTTTGAGAAGGGGTTTGGGACCCCAAGCCGGAGGGGACAGGGGTGGGATCTGTAGCCCTGGGGAGGGAAGAGGGCTGGGCGGCAAAAGCTCCCCACAGTCCTGGAGCAGAGAGTTGAAGGCCTGGATGCTGAGTGAGGGCTCATTATGGGATGGCAGCTGGGCTCAGCCTCAGCACTGATGGAGGGGAGACCCTCGGAAGGTGGGGGGTTACAGCCCAAGGGGGCAGAGGAGCAACCCGGATTTCCTGCCTGTCTCAGAGGGGGCCACTAACCTGAACCTCAGAGCCCCGTGGGGAAAGAGCCTCCCCACCCGTAAGGGTTGCTGCTGGGGCTTGGCAAGAGGGCCCCGGGGCCCAGACCTCTCCCTGCAGCCTCTCCGGGCCCTTGACTCGTGCCCCACGCGAACACGGCAACCGCTTCTGCTCATCCAGCGACTCCGACTATGATGACGAGGAACCCCCCAAGTTCTACATCCGGATCAAGCCCGTCCAGCCTCCAGAGCGGGCTGGCAGCGCTGCCACCTCGGCCGCCACAGAGCAGCTGAAGGCCTCTGTGGGCAGCCTCATCCTGCCACCCTGCGTGGGGGTGAGCAGGGCAGGGGTGTGGCGGAGGCAGGGCCTTCTGCCAGGGATAAGAGGGTGGGGCCCCTGGAGGGTGGCCAGAGGGTGGGGCCCTCCTTTTTGCCTTTCCCCCTTCCTGCTTCTGGAGGATGGCCCCAAATAAACCCTGGCCCTGTTTGCCAAGGCAGCACCCCTCGCAGGGGCATGAGTGTGGGCGAGGGGCACACGGTGGCTCTGTGCTGTTGACCCTCTTCCCCTTTTCTTCTGCAGGGCACGATGAAAAGGCATTCGTCCAGTAAGTCTCCACCTTCCCTTCCCTCTCTGGGCTCCTGCCGGTGTGCAGGGACCATGGGGCCCCTGGAGTGGGGAAGGCCTGATGGCGTTCTGCCAGCCCCTCTGGCCCCTTAGTGCTGGTGCTGAGTCATCGTGTGCTGAAGTAGGATTTGGTGACTGGGTTGGCCAGTTTCACACGACAGATGAAGGCCTGAGCCGTGGTGCGCCAGCAGCAGCTGCATCCCTTCGGCCAGCCACAAGCCAGCCACGCAGGGACGCTGCGTGTGCCTTTCTCTAAGTGCGACGGACGCGGCTCGGGCTCCTGCGGCTTCTGAGAAAACGCATCCCCCAATTGAGGCGCGTGAGCCCCAGCTGCCACGCGCTGCAGACAGGCCGGGGGGGGGGCGTGATTCTGGTCCCTGGAGAACCGCCTTCGTTCTCTGCAGCTTTGGCGGGCGCCGCCTGGCTTGGTTCCAGACCCCTCCCGACATCCCCAGTGCAAATTCACATCCTGACTTCAAAGAGGGGTTCGTTCTGTGGACGGGGGGATGCTGATCTGTCTCCCAGTGCTCTCTGCACCCGGCGCCCTGCGCATCGGCCTCCAGTGCAGTTTGGCCTCGATCCTGCAGCGCAGGCTCAGAGGGGCCCTCCAGTTTGCTTCTGCTCCTCTTTCTCTCAGGGCACTTGAAAACTTTTCCTTTGCCTGTGGCGGAAGCAGACTCTGGCGCGGCCCCGGGCGCAGGAGAAAGAGGTCAGGCCCGCAAGAGTGGGTGGGGGGGGAGGACCTGGAGGGCAGCTCCTCCCTCTGACCTTTGGTGGCTCTGTCCGTTCCTCCCCATCCTTTTGCAGGCGTTAAATCAGGAAGCGTTAAATCGGGAGGTGCTCCGACCCACCGCCCGGTGCCCCAGATGAGCAGGTACTCCTGGTCTCAGATACCCGACAACTCCGCTCTGGCACCTTGGGTGGAGCGCAAGACGCTGGTTTTAATTTGGCCAGCTTTGCGTCGGCTTCCTTGTTTGCTTTGGGGATTATGGATTTGTCACTGGGGGGCAGTGGAGATCTGAACAAGAGGCCTGTTTGTAGATGTAGAGCAGCCCCGTGAAGAGTCCCTGGACTTAACCTTGGTTCTGACTTCGCTTGCTGGCTCCCAGGGGTGGGAGCCAAGGGGGGATCATTGCTAAGTAAGCAGATCAACGTCTCAGGGGCAGAGAAAGGCAGGGGGCCCCCACTTTGCCCTTTTGGAGATTTTACCCATCGCTCCAACACACGTCTCCTTTTTTTCCAGGAAGGGCTAGAAAAAAATGAAAACTGCCTTAAATTTTGCTAGCCAGACAAAGACCTCTGGCGGGGTGTGCTGAGGCTTCCCAGAGATAACGGAGGCTTTTCTTTGCCCCCCACTCCCGTTTTCTCCTCCTTTTCCAGCTGTGACAGCAAAAGCCAGCCAGAGGTCCTTCCTGCTAGCGCTCTGTTTGGGCCCCCGCTGGAATCCGCCTTTGAAAGTGAAGGATTCACAGGTGAAAACAGCCCTGGTTTTCCAAAAAGAGCTTTCAGGGGTGGGCAGTGGGCCCCATCTTTGCAGGGTGGGGGGGCTGGGTCAAGCAGCTGCAGCTTCCCCAAAGCATGGGAGTATTCCAGCCCCCGCCCTGGCTTTGGGGTGAAAGTCATGGAGGAAACATGCCACCTGCAGTCAAGAGAAGGATGCTGAGCACGTTTGGCTGAACACATCTGGGATGCCCCTAACTGTCCAACCCCCCCAAACACGGATAGGTCATGGTGGGGCTGCTGTGTCACATTTTCAGCAGAGAGCAGTTTGGGTGCTGCTCAAGATGAGATGCATGAAAATAAAGAAAAGAAATTCCAGGAGTGTAGCAGACGGAACGAGGGAGGGCTGATCAGGGTTGACTCTTAGTGACCACAGAGACAGCCTTCTCCAGAGAGCCGGGTCTTTGCGTAACGTGTCTTCTCCGACACCAGAGTTCAAAGGCGTCAGTGCTCTCCCCGTCCTGCTTCTTCAAAGTCCACCCTCCCTTCCATAGAGGGTCACGGGACGCCGTGGCCTGCGCTGACCCTCTTTGTAGGGAGAGATCCATCTCGGCACTCGAATCGCTCCTCTGAGGCCTCCCTGGCTGCTCTGCCGAGTGCCAGTCTGTTGATGGCTGAGCCCAAAAGGCGGACGCCATCACCGCCCCGGTATCTTCGCTGCCGGTTCTGAGGCCGCTCGTTCTACCTGCTGGCGTTAGCTTGGCCTTCTTTCCGTTCAAATTCAGTCCCCTTTTTCCCGGGGCTCCGTGGGGGCTCTCAGGGC